ACTTTTGACCATTTTTAAATCAGGTTGTTTTCTTATTGTTGAGTTTTAAGAGTTCTTCGCATATTTTTGATACCAATTCTTCATCAGATATGATTTTTGCAAATATTTTGTCCTGGTCTGGAATTTGTCTTCACATTTTCTTTTCTTTACTTTTTTTTTTTTTTTTTTTGTCTTTTTTGTGACCAGCCGCAACGCGCTCAGCCAGTGAGCGCACCGGCTATCCCTATATAGGATCCGAACCCGTGGTGGGAGTGCTGCTGCACTCCCAGCGCTGCACTCTCCCGAGTGCGCCACAGGGTCAGCCCTCCACATTTTCTTGACAATGTCTTTCTCAGAGAAGTTTTTAATTTTAATGAAGTCCAGCTTATCAATTCTTTCTTTCATGGATTGTATCTTTGGTGTTATTATATCCAAAAAGTCATCACCAATCCCAAAGTCATCTAGATTTTCTCCTGTTATCTTCTAGGATTTTTATAGTTTTGCACTTCATATTCAAGTCTATAATCCATTTTGAGTTCATTTTTATGAAAGGTGTAAGGTCTGTGTCCAGATTCTTTGTGTGTGTGTGTGTGTGTGTGTGGCTGGCTGGTGTGGGGATCCAAACCCTTGACTTTGGTGTTATAACACCTTGCTCTAACCAACTGAGCTAACCAGCCAGCCCCTTAGATTCATTTTTTGTATGTGGATATCCAGTTGTTCTAGTACCATTTCTTGAAAAGACTATAATTTCTCCATCGTATCACCTTTGCTTCTCAAAGGTCAGTTGACTATATTTATGTGGGTCTACTTCTTTTTTTTTTTTTTTTTCCTTTTTTCTTGTCCGGCAACGGATCGCAACCCTCAGTGTTGCGCCCGTACCGGACCGGGACCGGCAACGGGATCGCAACCCTCAGTGTTGCACCCGCACCTTGCTCAGCCAGTGAGCAGGAACCGGTCCGTATGTGGGATCCGAACCTTCGGCGGCAGCGCCGCCGCGTTCCCAATCGGCACACTGTAGCAGTGCGCCACCGGGCCGGCCCATGTGGGTCTACTTCTGGGCTCTCTATTCTGTTCCATTGATCTGTCTGTTCTTTTGCTAGTACCACACTGTCTTGATTACTATTCATCTGTATTTATCCCTGAAGCCAGGTAGTTATCTGACTCTGTTCTTCTTCATATTGTGTTGGCTATTCTGGGTTGTTTGCCTCTCCATATAAACTTTAGAATCAGCTTATCAATATCCACAAAATAACTTGCTGGAATTTTTATGAAGATTGTGTTGAATCTGTAGATCAGGTTAGGAAGAACTGACATCTTGACAGTATTGAGTCTTCCTATCCATGAACACGAATCTCTCTCCATTTATTTATTTCTTCTTTGATTTCTGTCATCAGAGTATTGTTGTTTTCCTCATATAGATATTGTACATATACTGTCAGAGTTATACCTGTTTTTTTTCTTCCTGGTGCTAACGTAAATGGTATTGTGTTTTATTATTTTAAATTCTTCTGGTTCATTGATGGTGTATAGGATAGTGATTGACTTTATATATGAACTTTGTATCCCGTGACTTTGCTATAATCACTTATTCCAGGAATTTTTTGGTCACTTCTTTCCGATTTTCAACATAGACAATCGTGTCACCTGTAAACAAAGAATTTTATTACTTCCTTCCCAATCTGTATATCTTTTATTTTTTGTCTTCTTCTTCTTTTTTTTTTTTTTTTTAAAGATGACCAGTAAGGGGATCTTAACCCTTGACTTGGTGTTGTCAGCACCACGCTCTCCTATGTGAGCTAACTGGCCATCCTCTATATAGGGATCAGAACCCATGGCCTTGGTGCTACCAGCACCACACTCTCCCAAGTGGGCCAAGGGCTGGCCCTTTTTTTTGTCTTATTTCATTATCTAGGATTTCTAGTACAGTGTTGAAAAAGAGTGGTGAGAGGGGACATCCTTGTCTCGTTCCTGATCTTAGCAGGAAAGCTTCCAGTTTCCCACCATTAAGTATGATGTTAACTGTAGGTTTGTAGTAGGTGTTCTTTATCAAGTTGAGGAAGTTCATCTCTATCTCTAGTCTGTTTGAAGTTTTTAATCATGAATGGGTGTTGAATTTTATTTAATGTTTTTTCTGCATCTATTGATATGATTACATGATTTTTCTTCTGTAGCCTATTGATGTAATGGATTATATTAATTGATTTTTTATGTTGAACCAGCCTTGCATGTCTGGAATAAATTCCACTTGGTCATGGTGCATAATTCTTTTTATACAGTGTTGGATTCTATTTGCTCAAAATTTATTTTTATTTATTTATTTTTTTTAAAGATGACCGGTAAGGGGATCTTAACCCTTGACTTGGTGTTGTCAGCACCACGCCCAGCCAGTGAGCGAACCGGCCATCCCTATATGGGATCCGAACCCGGGGACTTGGTGTTATCAGCACCGCACTCTCCCGAGTGAGCCACCGGGCCGGCCCCTATTTGCTCAAATTTTATTGAGGACTTTACATCTATGTTTATAAAAGATATTGGTCTGTAGTTTTCTTGTTTCTTTGTCTGATTTTGGGTAATATTGACCTCATGGAATGAGTTAGGAAGTATTCTCTCTGCTTCTGTCTTTTCAAAGAGATTAGAGAGAATTGGTATAAGTGTCTCCTTAAATGTTTCATAGAATTCACTAGTGAGTGCCCCTGGGCAATGTAGCCAACTTTTATCTTTTGTCTTTTTCCGTGTCCGGCAACGGATCGCAACCCTCAGTGTTGCCCCCATACCGGACCGGGGACCGGCAACGGGATTGCAACCCTCGGTGTTGCTCCCGCGCCTCGCTCAGCCAGTGAGCGGGAACCGGTCTCTATGTGGGATCCGAACCCTCGGGCGGGAGCGCCGCCGTGCTTCCCAAGCGGCACACTTATCCAGTGCGCCACCGGGCCGGCCCTGTAGCCAACTTTTAAAATGAATTTTTTTCAGTTGTCTTCTTAGTGAGGTATTTTATTAATTTATTTGCTTCATGGGAAAGTAATATTGCACTGAACTTCTTTGAAGGCACTCTACACAGAATAAATTATCTAAACAGTATATAGGATTGAGACAAAAAAATTAACAGTAATATTTAGTTCCAACCCTGCAGCAACTTCATTCACAGCTGAGGTGAATGTGAGTGTCTATGAGCTGTTATGAATGAGAGTCGTTGGAGAGGTGAATGTGAATGTGGAGAGTAGGTGAATGTGGAAAGCCCCAGAAGACCATGGATTCATGTGAGAATGGTGAAACCACAGTCTCTGAGAAAGTCATTAAGAAGCATCTAATGAGTGCTGGTGTACATGCCAGGCACTGGATATTCATGATCTTGAATCCCTATCCCCTCCCTTTGAGGTAGGTGTTATCATCTTATCCTCATTTAACTAATGAGGAAGCTGAGGTTCTAAGAAGTTAACTAATTCTCCCAAGTTCACGCAGTTTATAAATACAAGAGGCAGGATATGAACTTTGTTCTGATTGCCTCTACCGAGATACTCTTTCAATTCATTACCTTACTGCTCATTATTCAGAGCTGCTTGGTTCTAGAAAATACCTAAAACGGAGCAACTGTTGAGAAACAGATATGGTATGTTTGAAACAGCATTGGCTTTAGTACTGGACTGACCTGGCTTAGAACTACTTACCCCTAATTATTGGAGAGGACATGAGCTAATTATTTAACCTATCTGAACCTTGCTCACAAACTTAAAAGTGGGGATAGCAACACCTGCCCCACAAAATTATTGTGAGGATTAAATAAGTGGACATATATAAAGTCTAGCCCTGTGCCTGGCATCTAGTAGATGCTGAGTAAATAAATGGTAGTGCCTTTAGTCCCTTGATCCTCTGATCTATACTTAACATTCTTGCAAAACAAGTGGTTATAAACACCCAATGCATCTATTTTTCTAGAAAATTAGAAAACTCCAATGTACAGATTTCTTTAAATAAGGTTAATTATGTAAAAAGTATATTAAAATGTCTATATTTATCCAGAATTTCTGTTTTATTTCATCTAGGTTGGGACAGCATTTGATGTTTGATGGTTTTTATACCACCATGTGTGGAAATCATATTTTCTAGTGCCAAAATGGTAATATATAATCTGATAAATATGAATGTTGTTGTGAGATTGGGGAGACAAAATTTAGAAATTGGGCTTCTTTAATAAAATCCAGGCTGTATGATCATCATAAGTCACTGTAGTATGCAGCGTGTTTGGTTGTCAGTGAGCAGAGTAAGCAACTGCTTATAAGGGGTGTGGGAAGCACTTTTGCCCAAAGTATTCCCTCCTCATCTAGCTTCTTTACTGCCCAAATGCCGCAGCTTTCCTGGCATTCCAATATCCTATTGTCTCAGGAGAACTAGTCTTCTTGGTAGAGGTAATAGATTAACTAACTCATTGTATTGGGCAATGAAAGATGGGGTTTATTGGTCCTTTCCTAAACGCAGATTATTTTTTTTTTTCCTTTTTGTCTTTTTTCGTGTCCGGCAACAGATCGCAACCCTCAGTGTCGCGCCCGTACCGGACCGGGACCAGCAATGGGATGGCAACCCTCGGTGTTGTGCCCGCACCTCGCTCAGCCAGTGAGCGGCCAGTCTATATGTGGGATCCGAACCCTTGGCGGGAGCGCCGCCACACTCCCAAGCGGTGCACTGTAGCAGTGCGCCACCGGGCCGGCCCTAAAAGCAGATTATTAATAGGATGATGGCAAGAGAAAAGAGCAGAGGATGGAAGGCAAATTTACTGTTTTACAGGTGGTTTTGAGCTTTCCCTGGTATAAAAATGGATAGAAATTTATATGCAAACCAACAGCAGAAAATACCTGTTTCTGGCACATAAGTAATAGAAATTTTCACCAATTGGATGGAAATGTAACTGCTGAAATGTCCTCGTGTACATATAATAGTCACTAGAAAAGTAATCTTTGGCAAAAATTATACTATATTAACCTTAATTAATGTTCCTCTGTTCTTTCTAATAGGCATAATCATAAGAAATGAATTTTAATGTCTGGAATATCAAAGAGATGCTCAGTATTCCTTCAGGCTCTGGGTAAGTTTTCTGGCTATATTCTCTGATACTTAAGAGTATCTTATGGTTTCATTATTTCATAGAAAGAGGGTCTCCTTCTGTAGTGGATTGAATAATATCCCTCCAAAACTTACTGAAGATTGAATTGTGTCCCCCAAGTTTTACATATTAGAAACTTAGCCCTTACTGTGATTGTTAAGAGGGTGGGAAATCCTATTATGATAATTGAAAGGTGGAGCCTTGACGAAGTGATTGGACTGTAGGACCGTGCAGTAGTGAATAAATTAAAAATGGTGGTCAGGGGTGTGGTTCTGAGGGTTTTAGAAGAGAGAGGAGAATCTTTCTCTCTCTCTGCTCCCTCTGCTCTCTCTGCTTCCACCATCTTGCAATGTGAGACCCCTGGGTCACTGTTGCCACCACGAGATGTGTTCCTGGGACTTTGGACTTCTCAGCCTTAGAAACTGTAAGCAATAAATTTCATTTTCTTTATAAATCACCCAGTTTCAGGTATTTTGTTATAAGCAACAGAAACAAACTAATACATCTTCCTATTAGATTACAGTAATAAAGATACCCCATATAGCTTCTTCTCCTTTTCTTCCCTTCCTCTGTCACTACTGTACCTTCTGGTGCTTGTTTTTTGTTCTGCTTATTCTCTGATTATAAAAACAATGTCAGTCCAGCTCTGTGTATTAACTGAGTGATGACGCTGCATCTAGCACTGGGCCTACAGTCTGGGCCTGTGAAAGTCAGGTATGGTTCAGCATCTGGAAACTTACCTCATTTGGGGTGAGTGCTACTGAAATAGTAAGGAGCAAAATCAAGATAATGTTCAGGTATTTGTTCAATTGTGTAGTATAAGTTGTAGGTACTGTGGAGATAAGAGCCACTCCAGCTGTTGACAAGGCTCATTGAGATATTGTCCCCTTTACTACTCTACCAAGATACTTATATTGGTGTCTACCAGCCTGCAATAAACCTGCCATATTAACTTGGTGGGTCTGCCCCAGAAGGTAGTGCATACTTAAGAGATTTCTATGTATATATTTTTTTCTTTTTAAAAGATGACCGGTAAGGGGATCTTAAACCTTGACTTGGTGTTGCCAGCACCACGCTCTCCCAAGTGAGCTAACTGTCCATCCCTATATAGGGATCCAAACCCATAGCCTTGGTGTTATCAGCACCATACTCTTCCAAGTGAGCCACAGGCCGGGCCTTAAGGGATTTCTGATTGCTTTTGGTATGCTTTTATCACTGGATAGTTTCTTTCCTCCTGAACACCTTCCTGAAGAGACTTATATTTGATCAAAAACCTAGAGCACTGTTCTATTTATTTCTCAAAAAGAAAAAAAGTGCTTGCAGTTGATACAGAATAGAGAAAATCTATCTTTGTTTGATTCCAGATTATATCTTTAAAATATAAATCCTACGTGATTTCAGTAGGCTCACAAAGCTTTTTTTATTATTTTTTTTCTTCCAGACCAGCTAAGTATTCTCTTTGGCCCAAGAGGGGAGTCACAAAGAGCTATTTTGAGCAATGATTATGCAACCCATATTACCATATATATATGGGCTGCCTATTACCTTAGCTAATCTCAGGAAATGGTTCTATGAGTAAAAATAATTGCCCTACCCTATGCTGAACTATTAAGAGTCTCTTTTTATTAAAAACAAATATACATAGAAAACAAATATATAGAAACAGTTTATGTTAATAATATGAAGGTTCCTTTGGCTTAGAATATATACATTGCTTTAAATTTAACATTTAGAAAAGGAATGATTTGTGTGTATGTGTTTTAATGAAAAACATGGTTTCTCAGCATTAAGTAACACAAATTGTTATTGAGATGTGTTTCAAATAAAAACTTGAAGACTATATGTTTTAGTTGTCTGCCTACTTATGTGTTGTTTCTGTAGTAGATTCAGTGTGCTGTGTTCAAGTGTGATTGTATCATTATTAATATTACTATCCCCTTTATATGTGAGGCTTAAAGACTAGCATAGATATTCATGGGAAGTTGGAAGTTCACAGCTGGAAATATTTAAAGCAAGAAAAGACAAGATACACCTTGTTTCAAAAACATTTTTTAATGGATCCTGCTATACACAGATCTGAGTTGATCATATTCTTCATTCTGGCAGAGACCTGTATTAGTTTGCTCAATCTACCATAACAAAATACCTTAGACTGGACTGGGTGTGAGAAATTTATTCTCACAGTTCTGGAGGCTGGAAGTCCGGAATCAGGGTGTCAGCATAGTTGGCTTCTTGTGAGGTCTCTCTTCTTGGCCTGCAGACAGCCAGCCCCTTCTTGCTGTGTCTTCACATTAAGGGGGAGGAGGGATGTGTGAACTCTCTGTGCCTCTTCTTATAAGGGCACTATATTAGTCCATTTCTGTTGCTTATAACAAAATACTTGGAGCTGGGTAATTTATAAAGAAAATGAAATTTATTGCTTACAGTTTCTGAGGCTGGGAAGTCCAAAGTCCATCTGGTGATGGTGACAGCGACCCAGGGGTCTCACATTGCAAGATGGTGGGAGCAGAGAGAGCAGAGAAAGAGAAGACAGACTCTCCTCTTCTTTTAATGCCCTCAGAACCAAGCCCCTGACCACCAGTTTTTAATCTATCCACTACAGCATGGTCCTACAATCCAATCACCTCTTCAAGACTCCACCTTTCAATGACCATAATAGGATTCCCCACCCTCTTAACAGTCACAGTGGGGGCTGAATTTCTAATACATAAAGCTTGGGGACACAATTATGCTTCAGTGAGTTTTGGGGGGACATAATTCAATCCACTACAGGTACTAATCCTATCATGAGGGTGCCACTCTCATGACCTCATCAAACCCTAATTACCTCTCAAAGGGCACATCTCCAAATACCATCACATTAGGGGTTAGGACTTCAACATATGAATTCGGGGCGTGGGGGGGACACAAACATTCAGTCTGTAACCAGGCCTATCTTGTGTCTGTTTTATTATGGCTCCTTCTCTCCTTCCAGTTCTGCTCCCTTCCTTTCCTGTAGGTATACACTCTGGTACACTCTAGAAGAGTTAATGTGTGTCCTTCCAGTCACCTTCTATACACTCAGTTACATACTTGTTTGGTGTATATGATATAGGTTTAAAAATTTACATAAATGATATGTAGTAGAGATCATTTGATTTTTACTTTTTTTTGCACTCAAAATCATGTTTTTGAGACTTACCCATGTGATAGCTTATTGCTTCTGATTGCATCAGTTAATGTATACACTTTTATTTATCTGTTCCCTTACTGATGAACAGATTCATCTTTTTTTTTTTTTTTCTTTTTGTCTTTTTTTCGTGACCGGTAACAGGATCGCAACCCTTGGTGTCGCGCCCGCACCGTGCTCAACCAGTGAGCGGACCGGTCTCTATATGGGATCCGAACCCTCGGCGGGAGCGCTGCCGCGCTCTCAAGCGCCGCACTCTACCGAGTGCGCCACTGGGCCGGCCCCAGATTCATCTTTTATTTTATTTTTATTTTTATTTTTTTTTTTCCCTTTTTGTCTTTTTCCGTGTCCAGCAACGGATCGCAACCCTCAGTGTCGCCCCCGTACCGGACCGGGACCAGCAACGGGATCGCAACCCTCGGTGTTGCCCCCGCGCCTCGCTCAGCCAGTGAGCAGGAACTGGTCTGTATGTGGGATCCGAACCCTCAGCGGGAGCGCCACCACACTCCCAAGCGTTGCACTATAGCAGTGCACCACCGGGCCGGCCTCAGATTCATCTTTTAAAAATATAATGTTCAATGGTGTCAGTTTTTTTATGTTTGAGTTTCCATCTGATTGTTGTAATCAAAATGGGTGGCATTCAAAATTTCTTTGTGTCTCTTTGTAGGTAATACTGGCAGTGTGCTGGGTACTTGGACATCAGAACAAGCTAGCACTCTCCCTGAATATTCTAAAATGAACAGTTGTGAATTATTACATTTGTTTAGGATATTTGTCCACTTGATATGCTTTCCTTGCTTAATTTCAGGACCACTAAGTCATCTAACTGGAATAATAATCAGACTGATTATTCCAGTCTCAGTGATTCCCAGTTCCTCTTTGGATCTCAGTTCTGTCCAGAAAATTCAGAGACGCTGTCAGCACCCTTGGACTTTGGTGCCCACTTGAGGCATTCAAAACAGTCACAACAGACTTCTCTGGATGTGAGTATGATTTTCAGAATTTCTCTGCACACATTTCACAGTCCTTATGGAGAAATGCTATAAATAAGACTTATTCTGTTGGAATATAATTTAGAATTGTACCTCTGTAAGGATTACTCTCCTAAATGGATTTGTGCTTGATTGGTGACTCATTTGACCTAGTAGTCTGAAATGGGGAAAAAAAAAAAAAAATTTTTTTTTTTTTTTTGGCAGCCAGCTGGTATGGATCTGAATCCTTGAACTTAGTGTTACTAACACCACTCTCTAACCAACTGAGCTAACTGGCCAGCCCCTGAAATGGAAAAAATACTTATATTTGTAGTTTCTTCTATTACCAAAGTGACATAGAATAGTGTCAGTCCCTTGGCCACTCAGGGAGGGGCAAATATTGCATGACATCCTCAAACTCCAAAATCTTGACCTCCATGCCAGGTCCTGGGCTTGCTGGACTGGGACATGAGGAATGAGTCCTTTCTGGCCTTTACCACAGTACACCTGCCCTTAGCTGAGCCGTTAACCTTGCCAGATATTGACTCCAAATAGTTGATCCACCAAAACTACTCCTGTAAAAAAAAAAACCCTAAGGCTGATAAAGATGGTGCAGATTTTGAGCCCAACCTGTGCATGTGGGAAAACCCGAACATTGTGTATTCTCCCCAGAAAGCTGGAGGTCCCAGAAGTAACAAGAGGGAAGATCTAATGAGCACAGTACCGTCCCCTCAGCCACCGCCAAAGGAGGAAGCTGCCAACTGCTCAGAGGCCACAAGGGTGGAATTGCTGTTGCTTTCCTCCAGTGAGCAGTCTTCCCCTTGGAAGCTGTTTTTCTCTTCCCCCCCAGCAACTGGGAAATATGATGCCCTTCCTCTTTGACTTTTAGCTCCAAGAAGCAAGAGTTAGTCCATTCCTTATGAAAGTTTCCCTCAGACAAAAAAGAAAGAAGAAAAAAAACCAAAAAGAATTTCATAAAATAGGAATAAAGTAACATACATTTTATTTTAGATGAACATTTTTTTCTAAGAAATTTCATGTACTTTCCACAAAGTTTTAGATAACTACACTACTCCTTGAAGAAGAAGCAGATGAAGATTCTGAGGCCCAAGTTAATGAATAAGAGCCAGAATGAGGAAGAGAGTCCCTTGGTCCTTGATTTTATGAGACCAACCTGTCTTCTCTCATATGTCAGAAATATTTTGATTTGTTTTTTTTTTTTTGGTCTAGAACTAGATTTGATTTTATATACAGTCTTAGCTGTATCAAATAAGGACTTAATGGATAAGATTAGATCAGTGCTTTTAGTAGAGTATGCTCTAAGTATGTCAGTACAAATATTGGTATCTAGTGATATGAAGGAGTAAATGTACTCTCTGAATGTTTTAGAATTAATTATGCCTAAGAATGTAGGAGATGGCTCACCATGTGCTAGCATGCCTGCTGTCCAGTCCATGTCAAATTTATTAACATGTCTTTAATTTACCAGCAGCTGAGCAACAGCAATTCAAGTTAAACTTATTAATATAAAAACTTTAACACATCATCTCAGAGAGAGAGTCAGAGATAGCATAGATAATTCTCTGTTGTTGCCTTTAAATTTATGCAATTGATTTTATGCTATTTTAGCTGACATTTTAAATATCTCTGGGCTGGTAAGGCAGAAAAGTTGTTTTATTTTAAGTATAATTTTCTGATGTACACAAAAATAAAAAGGAAATGCTACATGCTGTGTTTTTTTTAGCAATATGGTTTATATTTAAATGTAACACTGCATTGTAGAGAAAATACTGAACACTATAAATATTTTTATGTGTGAAACGTTATATTGATTTCTTTTTTTCATTTAACAGAGTGAACCTAGTATTTTCACAAAGTACCAGACAAAACCCCAGCTGTATAGAGGAGATACAAAGAATGGAGGCTTATTTCCTCTTCCTTTGCCAGTTGGAAAATCAAAAGACCTCTTGGAACAGTTTGAGGAGGAAAAGAAAAGGACAAAAGACAAATGTGACAGGTATGCAAATCTTTTAAGTAAATGAAACAGGTTATCTTCTCTGAGGGAAGCAGAAAATAGAGTGTCAGTAATCAAATAACTCAATTTCAGTGTAATAGCATGTATTAGGGTTCTCCAGAGAAACAGAACCAATAGGATTTAGATAGATAGATAGATAGATAATGGAAATTGTCTCATGAGATTATGGAGGCTGAGCAGTCACACAATCTGCCATCTGCAAGCTGGAGAACCAGAAAAGACAGTGGTGGTGTTCAGTCTGAGTCCAAAGGCCTGACAACTAGGAGATCTGATGTCCAAGGGCAGGAGACTGAACAGAGAATGAATTCACCCTTCCTTTTTGTTCTTTTGGGCCCTCAACAGATTGGATGATGCCTGCCTGTATCAGTGAAGGCAGTCTTCTGTACTTAGTCTACCAATTCAATTGTTAATCTCTTATGGTGATACTTTCACAAACACACCCAGAAATAATGTTTTACCAGCTATCAGGGCATCTCTCAGCCCAGTTGACACATGAATCAACCATTGCATAGCACTCTTGCTTTTGTAGTTCTTCTAATAATTAATCTTTATTTACTTTCTTGTCAGTGTGACTTGTGGTAGATATGAATATGGCTGCCACAATTTTGGCCTCTCTGAAAAGTAAAAACTAGAGGATTTCTTAGAGGATGCAATATTCAAGTAATGTTGTGTCTATTCTGCCTAAAATTCTGTTCTCTAATTTGTTTTCTTTTCAGATAATCAAGATTAGGAAGTTAGATAACATTACTTATTTTAGGGTCAAGAAAATAGTGCATGAATTCTTATGTCATAGTTCAGGTTGATTTTCTCACTTTGAAATGTTATTATTTTTAAAGATATACCCCAAATTTTGTACATATTCTTCTTTTGTTTGTTTTTTTGAAGGTTGAAAATTATATTACCTTGGGTTATAACTGTTTGTTTACTACCATTACACCATTTTATCTCCTAAGAACCATCCCATAATTTAAAGAATGACATGGCCAAGAGAGATATTTAGGAAGACATTTCTAGACAGAGCTGAATTTAAATCATACTCTCCAAATAATACATTCTGTCTCTTTTTTTATTGTAATAGTTTATGTGAAAGCACACAAAAATTAATCATCTGCTTTTATTAGGTGACTCTGAAATATCAATTCTACTGCCTCCAATAAAGAATCAATAATTACTTTTAAAACATTAAGGCAATTAAAGTCATTTGTGAAGACAGTATCAAATGAGTTTTTTTGCTCTTATGACTAATCCATTATAAACCAATGCCTATTTTATTTTATTTTTTTCAAAAGATGACCGGTAAGGGGATCTTAACCCTTGACTTGGTGTTGTCAGCACCACGCTCTCCCAAGTGAGCTAACCATTCATCCCTATATAGGGATCCAAATCGGTGGCCTTGGTGTTACCAGAACCACACTCTCCCAAGTGAGCCATGGGCTGGCCCTCCAATGCCAGTTTTAAAAACACAATTCCAGTAAGCATAAGTACAGTTACACCAAGTACAGATAAGAAAGTAAAGGAGCTCACCGGCTATGCTACTCCAAATGGATGAAAAAGCAAAATTGATTTTATACTGTAGATCTATATAAATAAATAAATAAAACCTATCTTTTTTTTTCTGCACATAAGCTTAGACTTCTTACACAAATAACAGAATGCTTCATTTCATCCACTTCGATAAGATGAACTCCTTAGAGAAAGATTGAGAAGAGTTGATAATCAACTCCCAAATTTTTTTTTTTTTTTTTTTGTCTTTTTGTCTTTTTTCGTGACCAGCAATGGATCGCAACCCTCAGTGTCGCGCCCGTACCG